GACTTGTTTTCCTGCTCTTCTTCCAAAGAAAATGAACTCTCCTCTTCTGGGAAAGTGTTTGGATATGGTGCAGTAATTCCTGCAGTTCTTATCAGAGCTGCTGGAGGGTACCTGCTTCTCACTCTATCCAGAGACATTGTGCCCATTTCCTCTAACCCTCTACCCCATTTAGCTCCCCCCTCCTCTGAAAACCTGCTCTGGGTTGGTCCTTGCCCTTGTACCCCTGACAGTCTCTCCCTGGTCCTGCTTGTCCCTGTATTAATTGAATTCTCAGAACCTTTAGTGTCTTTTTGTGTCCAGGTGAATGATTTCCTGCTTGGCACTGGACCAATGCTGCTATCCTCTCCGGATGACATACGCCTGGGGAAGGTTCCCCCTGATGCCCTCTCATATGACCTCTGCTGTGGCGAAACAAGGGAGTCTGTAGTTGTTTCTCTGTGATGGGATGTCAAAGGAGTAGAGAAGTCACTTAAATCCTCCATTTGACCAAAATTAGCTGACCCATAGAGTTTTTCTATCCGCTCCATTATACTCTGACCTCCTTTGGGTCCGAATGAAGAAGCTGTCCCTCTGGCACCGGTGCTAGATCCAGACAGGGACCTAATCCTAACGGGGAGAGAATTACCCCGACTGACCCTGTCCAAAGTCATGAGACTCGCTGGCCTCCTCTCTTGATCACCACTTGTATCTGCAGAGATATAGGCGTGAATTGAAGATATCACCCTGTCTCCCACACATTCAACTACAGTCCTTATTTCATTCGAGCCTTGTTTGCGTGACAACACAGACATGTCAGCCTTTTTTCCCCGATCAGGGCTCGTGTCCCCCGCTCTCCAATCCAAACTCTTACTTCTACTTTGCATGTTTTGTCTCCTCAAGTCAGTCCTGCCCCGGCTTTCAGAGGCAGGGTTACAGTTTCTACCTCTGTCGGTGCCAAACTCTGTGATAGTTTGATCTGATGTGCCATTCTGGTTCAGCTTAATAGTCCTTTTATGGTCTGATGGTTCCTGCTCCTCGCCCTGCCCTCTGACAGTGCTGCGACTCCCAGTCCTGGCTTGATAAGCAGTGACTGTGCCATCTTCCTCCTGGTTTGTGCCATTTGTGCCAGAGAGAGTCCAATCTCTCTCGCCGACTTCCTCAGAACTCTCCTTCTCCTGTTCTTGAAAACTCCTTGTTTTCCTGACACCTGGCCTGCGAGTGAGACGGTAAGAAGGAGAGCTGGCTGAGCGCACAGTGAAGCATGCTCCTGTCTGCTGCGTTTCATAGTCACTCACTTGAGTAGGCAGCATGGACAAGTCCATTGTCTGAGAGTAAACAAAGTTAATAACCTGCTGTCAAGTGCCAAATCCCAAAAAGAGAGCGGAAGAGTGAACTTGATATTCAAGCAAATCCGAGCAACTGTCTGATGATTGTCTGTTTTGTGGTTGAGAAGAGAGCTCCACTGGGCTTCTCTCATTGATCTCTTGTCGTTCTGTCCCTTGAATTCTTTGGCTCCCCCAACATGTCTTCAGAGAACAGCTCCCATTGCCTGCAAAGCATAACAAAGGTACACATTTCTATCCTGAGATTGCATTGGGATGAAATGTTGTGATGTGTAGATTGTGGCTCGTTGAAATGGTCAAACAGAAGCACATGGTGTTTGATGATAGGGAACACAACACGTAACAGAGAAGAATAAAGAGGACAGTGAATGCAGAAGATATGAAAATGTTAAAAACAACAAATAGGAACAAAAGAAAGAGCATGACGGCCAGAGAACTAAACACACTATTGTATACTAACTCCTGTAAGTTATGTCATTTGGCAACACGTCTCTGCCCTGCTGACATACCCCTCACACTGTCTCAATGAGCCCATTCACAGAACAGTGGGACTCTGACTCACATCATGCACTCTGTTGTACACTCACATATCATAACGGCTGTTTACACAAGCAACATACTCATGACTACCTGTCAGCGTCAGCAAAACCTGAATTAAAAACTGGAATAACTCACCAAACTGCAATCCTCCCAGTAAAAACAATGTATTAAAATACAACAAACAGTCTCTGTGCAGCGCGTATCGGCGTCATAGAGCCACAGGAGGACAATGACTGATTGAAACTTTGTAACAGTGTTCAGGGGAAATGATCAGATAAGATGGACAAAGATGAGGACAAAGTCACTTTGATTTACATACAACCTGCTTGGCGATATATTGTATTACTGATGGACAATGGCACTTGTTCAAATTACAGACATTGTTTGATAACCACCGAAACCATCTTTGATCATTAATCAAGGCAGAATTAAGAGCGATCTATAAAGTACACTACACAAGTAGTGTAAGCTGTTGATTTACTGTACAAATACAACAGGACTAGCAAGCCGATAAGCAATGGCTGCATCATTGTATGAAGCTGTTTAGGTGTCAGCGTGTTACTGTGGGAGACAGTCTCCGTGGTGCTTTCCAATGAAGGTGAGTCTGAGTGTCGGTTTACAGAAACACCTGTTCTGTTAGGTCAAAGCCTCCCATCTGGGTAACCAGGCAACACTGCTCAGTTTACTTTAAACCCCGATTGAAGAGCGAGGAAACAAAAATGCATCAAGACATCAGACAAAAAAACCATACATTCACACACTCACATAATTGAGAATTAGCAAAAATAGATCCCACATCCACAAACACATGTGCCTTACCTTCTCTAGGAATGAGTTCTTGTCCTACACCGCTGTGTGAAACAGGTTCATAATAAAGGCAGCGCTCTGCAATGACATCAGCTCAACTCCCCTCTCTCTCTCTCTGTGTGTTGTGCTCTCTCTGTCAGCTTTGCATGATGAAGTGTGTACAGTGACGCAAACCTGCCTCACTGGTTTATCCTCTCATCCTCTCTCTCTCTGTCTTTCTCCTCCCCCTCCCATTGTTGTTTTCTCCCTCTTTTCCTCTTCTCACAGGGTAGCATTCCTGACAGCAGTTCAATGTGTCACCCACTGAAATGTTTAACAGGGAGTGCACACAAACACACAATCACACACACACACACACACACACACACACACACACACACACACACACACACACACACACACACACACACACACACACACACACACACACACACACACACACACACACACACACACACACACACACACACACACACACACACACACACACACACACACACACACACACACACACACACACACACACACACACACACACACACACACCCCCGACTGACTCTCCCTCCCTCCCTCACACATTAGCATTTAATAGCTCAATGGAGAGAAGATGCAGTCCAGATTAATGTGTGAAACAGACAAAAATGACATTTTCCAACACAGTCTTATTACATAACCCAACCTCAGGGCACATCTTAGTTCAGTCTTCTGGGCTGCGCAGGTATCAAAATACATAATAACAGAGCACCTATAATTGGGACCAGAGACAACAAAGGGCCCAGAAATACCAGCAGGGATTAATATTGTTAAAAGTACACCTCTCGTATGACATGTGTTAAACAAAACAACAGGCTACAGGAGAAAAGTGTCTGAGATAAAGAAGAAGCAGAAGAAGAAGAAGATTTCGTGAAATGTGAGAAGGCGTATGAACAGTCACAAGTACAAAAAGCAAAAGGACAGAGATAAATACAATCAAAAATATTCAATTCTAGTACTTACAGTTATGTTTGTTGTGTAGACGCTCTTGTTGTACTGATTATTTTTTGCATGCACCTGCAATTGTCTTCCGTTGAAAGAGAGGAAACTGTGGTCAGCATGCTGCAACGCTACATAAGAACCGTCTTAAAGTGAGTGCCTGTCAAAAGCCGAAATAGACTGAGTGGAGACATTGATCCTATAGGCCAGGTCTTAGAATTCAATAAGTGATAAGCCATACATACAGAGGGGTGGTAGGTCGCATGGTCTCCTCAGGACAGAGATTAGTCTGTGAGGAGGGGTAAATAGCTCCAGTTCAAATCCCAAACGCCACCCTTGTCCCTGACAGAAGAATGGCACTTATTGTCTAACAGGATGGATGCAAATCGCTGTTCTGCTCACACAGACACACTGGTTCAATAGATTCATTCTTTCGGGTGTAGGCATCAGAGGGCCATGTGAGAAAAGGGCAATTTGTGGTATTTAATCAATGGGTCACAGTGGATATAAATAGTCTGCAATGCATGCTTTTAGTGTGAAGCAATCCATGGATAAAATACAATTCACTCTGAACTTTGTGTCTTTTTGGATTGGAACTGTCACATGAATAGGAAAGTTGGCAGCTCAGCCCATTTTGTAGGAGCCTTGGGGATTTCTTTTAACTGTTACTTTTAGTGTTCATTATTATCTGATTAAATGTACTAATGCAATCCTTTTTTTATCCTGTTCTTTCTGTATCTTTTCTTATTTGTTATACATTTAATCGCTTGCTTTTATCGTGAAGTATTGGCAACTGTTTTAGTATGCCTTTTTTTATTTATCATCTTGTTTTTTACTTTATTGCAGAGCACTTTGAACAACATTCCCTGAATAACACAACAACAAAAAACAAGAACAAAAGAAATATGGAATTGTGTTATGTGGATATTACAGAAATATCCTTATATCTTGTTCTTCTGTTATTGGTGTTTGGATCATTTGTCTAAGTAGCCTAATCAGATCTTTTAGGTGAAAATAGTAATACAAATATATTCTGTACAGTATTTCATTTTTACATTCTTTTTTTAGCCCATCTTATTCTGTTGCCATAACTACACTAGCTACTGTGCATTTAACAATAGAACCATTGAATCTTGACTCTTTCCAAAACGTAAATACACTCTTTTACAAGTAAAGGCAGTAACGTAGGCAAGTACGTAGAAACTTAGAGACCTAAACATTGCACTCACTTGAAGAACATCGTACTTTCTTCGTTCCAGTGTTGTTGTTGTTGCTGTTTGCAGGTCGTCAGCAGCAGATGGCAGGAGAGGCCGTGGAAACGTCTTCTCTGACGTCAGTCCTGCCCGCCCGTACCTGTCACCTGACCAATGCGGAAGTCAACAAACCGGTCAGCGAAATGTTAAAAAGCACTTTACTTTACCTACTTCCCTGTTTTATGTGTTGCGTTTAATGTAAGCTTTGTGAGCTCTAAAGGGACACTGAATGGCTTTCAAGTGTCAAGTGTTGGACGCACCCTCCGTCATTTAGCGAGCGGTAACTAAAGTTAGTTTATTGTAGTTTAAACACACCGCTTCAAGATGCGGAGCGACACTCTCCTCTCCAGCGTGAACGTGGTGCTTGTAATGGCCTACGGTAGTCTGGTGAGTGTGTTTCTCTTTATATCTGTGTCATTTTCTTACCTAGGTCAGGTGTATGTTAACTCTCGCTATGACAAGCCTGTAAGCGTAGTTTTTTTAAACATCTTTTTGGTTCATTTTCACTACAGAGTTTCTGTTTACAAAGCTTATTATTTCAAATAGTCAAATTGGCTTCATTTTCACCATGAAACACAAAATATGTCCCTTAACTGGACAGAGTTCAAAATCCTATGCTCATTACAAGGCACACACAGTTAGTGGAATGTAACTAAGTACATGTACTAAACGCAGTGGTTCTCAACTGGTGGGTCGCGGACCCGTTTCGAGTGGGTCGCAGATGTGTGAGTGAAGAAAGAAAAAAGTCTAACTTTTATTTTGAAGGCCCGATTTTCTAACGCTGTGCATGCAGTAGGCGTTGGAGTGGAAGTAGGCTACCGGAGACCATAAACGGTTTTGAAAACTTCTATCACGTAGTGATCATCTTCTCGATAAAACATCTTTGCTGATGTTTTTTCGAGTCTTCTGGCCAATCAGAATCAAGATTGTTGCCGGAAGTCCCCACGGAGAATACATTTGCGGTAGAACTATTCTTTATACATCCATGGGTACAACTTCAGATACAAATGAACACATAATGAGATATGACCCCCGGTTTGATGATTGACAGGTCACAGAACAATGGGAGCTATCTACCCGTATCCACAATTTAAAGTAATTCACACGGACTCTCTCCTCTTTGCTCTTCTCTCTGTGAGGAGCAGCAAGTTCAGCTGTCAGAACAAAGTGAAAAACAAACAATGGCATACAATATTATTAATATAGTATTTATTTATTTTCTTCTCAGAGTGTACCAGAATGCGTAGTTTATATGTTAGTATTTCTAAAAATCTCCTGGGGGAGAATCCCCCCAGACCCCCATGCTGGGGTTGGGTTTTCAGCATGTCATGTTTTTCACGTGTGGTGAATTTGCAGGATTGGCTCCAAGTCTGCCTTTTTATTTTAAAAGCATTCTTTAGTTCTGTGAAGGGATAGCCTATAAGGGATATATGCACTGTATTTCACTTTAATTAATATTGTATGCTGAAAAGCGTATATATTACAGCACGATTTTTTGTTGAATAGATTTTAGTGGTTCAAAATTTCGGGCCGCGATTTATTGACCAAGGAAAAAGTGGGTCCCGAGGCCTGACCAGTTGAGAACCAGTAACTAAAGTACTATAACTAAGTACAAAGGTGAGATACTTTTACTTTACGTGAGTATTTCTATTTCCTGCAACTTTGTTCTTTTACTCCATTACATCTAGGGGGGATATATTTTACTTTCTACTGCACAACTTTTATTTGCATTATGATTTTTTTATGATCCACACTCCACAGGCATTCCTCTCAGTATGCTCAAAAGGGGAGTACAAATAAAACTAACCCCTGACTTTTTTCTAGGTGTTTGTTTTGCTCTTCATCTTTGTCAAAAGGCAAATTGTGCGATTTGCCATGAAGTCTCGGAGAGGACCGCATGTTCCACTCGGCCACAATGCTCCCAAGGTGACCCACACAATTACACTTAAGTCTGTTGATGTGCATTGTTTTCTGGTCAAATATGATAGGTGTTTGTTGTCTGTGCTGTAGGAGCTGAGACAAGAAATTGAAGCCAAACTTTGCCAGGTCCAGAAAATCCACTTTGAGCCTCGTCTGCTGTCCCTAGATGACGACCGGCTAAAGCACAGAGAACAGTCTGGTAAGAGGCATGCATGCAACAACACACACTCGTATACACTAGTCCTGAAACTATCTATATGAGTAGTTTTGAACCAAGTGAACCGAATAATGTGTGTGTCTGTTGTAGGTTCTCATAACTCCCTGTATAGGATGAAAGCACTGGATGCCATCAGAGACACTGGTAAGCTTTGCTGTCAACAATCTGGTCACAGTCTGGTTTTGTTGTAAAGACAAACTGTTACAATTCTACCTGTACTTTCTGTCAACAGATCTACCTTTCCGTGAACTCGGCGGCACACCTACCGCTGTGACGGGTAAAAGACTTCGGACATGGCTTCTGCAGCTACGAAAGTCCCAGTGCATGTTCCAAAACAGTCTGAGCTCGCTCATCGACACGGTGCTGGACGGATACAACAAAGCCCGTCACGGGGCAGAGGTCAGTGTCCCTCTGTCCGTTTGTGAGAAGAACTTACATCTCTTAACACACATCATGGCAATATTGTGTGACAGTACCTTGTCTAAATAAAGAGCAAAACAATTGTTTTAATCTGGCAACAAAATCATATAGGTATGCTTAATATGAAAGGAGAGTATTTTTAAGTCATTTTTGTTACACAATTGATTTAATAGTCATTGTGCTCCAAAGGCCTGCTTTTTTAAAATACGACTATTGACCAAGACCAAGTCGTTTTGATCTTTTAAAGACCTAGGAAGGTTTATTAACGCCTTTGTTACCTCGAGACTGGATTACTGCAACGCTCTGTATGTGGGTATGGACCAGGCGTCAATTAGACGCCTGCAGCTAGTGCAGAACGCAGCTGCACGTCTTCTCACTGGCCATAAAAAGCGTGACCACATCACCCCAATTCTGGCCTCACTGCACTGGCTTCCAATTCGGTTCCGAATTGATTTTAAACTCCTTTTATTTGTTTTCAAAGCACTAAATGGGCTGGCTCCGGCTTATTTAGCAGAACTCATCCATCGCCACACCCCAGCCAGAGCTTTAAGGTCGGCTGACCAGCTGCTGCTGATAGTGCCCAGGACCAGGCTCAAAACCCGAGGGCACCGAGCCTTCGCAGCAGCTAGGGGTTTTTAAATCTACACTTAAGACTCACTCACACTCAGAGCGGAGCACGACTCCTGACATTTCCCTGTATGTGATTTTTATTTGTGCTGTTGTAATTTGTTGTCGTCTGTTTGCTATTGTAATAAAGTGTTTTTATTGCATGTACAGCACTTTGGCTCGACCAAAAATCGTTTTAAAAATGTGCTATATAAATAAAACTTGATTTGATTTGATTTGATAGAACTCAATGTCATAGCTGATCAACAGAAAAATAGTTGCTGACTATTTTTGTAATAGATTAATTGTTATACTAATAATGCAATAATGGCAGAAAAAAATACAGTTGTTAGCCTGTCTAATGAAGTCATATACTGAATATCTCTGAGTTTGACTTACAAAACAAGACATTTTAAGACATCAAATTGGTCTTTGACAGACTGGGATATATATTTTTCACAATTTTCTGACTTTTTTAGACCAAACATTTAACCAGTTTATACATAGTGGCTGTATTGTGGTCTTCTGACAAAATTGTTACAAATGTATATTATCCTTATTATTAGTGCTTTTGCTATTCACCATATAGTCCCTCCTGTTGTGTACAGTGAACTGCGACTGCAGGAAAAGCTGTCAAATGTACGGATGTCTTATCTTTTTACCCATTTTTTGTCTGTAGGCTTTTGGTGAAGCAGAATTTTTGAAATACCAGGAAGCTCTGACTGAACTGGCCTCTCTGTGAGTAAACACAACTTCTCCTCGCAGTTCAGCCTCACTTTTATGCTAATCCCACTGTGGAATGTTAATCTATCATTGGGTCAATCTGATTCTTCCTTGCTGTTTCAGCGTGAAGTCTCGCAGCAGCAGCAGCACTCCGAGCCAGCACCACCACTCGGCCGCCAAAGACCTGATCGGCACCACGGAGCCAATGAGCTCCTCCTCCTCCTCCCCCACCCAAACCACCTACCTCACATCGTCGATGCAGCAGCGCAGCAAGCGGCCCAGACACTTCCTGGAGCTGAAGAACTTCAAAGACAACTACAACACACTGGACAGTTCGTTCTGAAAATATGTGACTCGCATCTGAGAGAAAGGTCAAAGACAAGGTAGAGCTTCCTGTGATTTAAGTGCCTACAGATCGGTAGTTTAGGGTGAAATGAAAAAGCACTGCCTTCATATACTAACACATATTGCCTAGTTCAAAGTATAATGCACTTCAAACTGCTCTACCTAGCCTATGCATATATCCTGTATTAATGCATGTACAAGTGTTATATTAGGTAGAAAATGACTATGAGTTACTATGGTAAGTAGGGTTGATTTGACCAAAACAACACTGGAGCTCTCGGGCTATGCAATGGCACATGACAATCAGTATTTATTGTACAATTATAAAAGCCTATGCAGAATTGTTATAATTAACCAAGTGTATTTAAATGCTAACAATGTTTGTAGATAAATCCCAGTGTTAATAGTTGAAAAACACACACTGTTTATGTCACTTATGTTTACATCTATGTATGTCTCATTTGCTGTTTTTAGCCTTAAACATGTTTTACAGAAGCCATACTTGATTTAATGAATTGTGATTAAGTGCTCTTAAGATTTAATCAGATCTCTCAGTGGAATGTAATTTAACTGTTTCCCAGTGCATTTATGCAATTATAATGTAGCATCAGGGGAGGTCTCTTTTTAAAAAGGTTGACTGGCCCCCAGATGTCTGAAATGTTTATTAATTTTCGTATCAGGGGAACATTCAGGTGAATTATTATTTTTCTGTGATGCTTATTGTATAAGTTGCCATCCGAATAAAACAGTGACATGCAGTCAAAATGTTGTAAAAGTGTTTCAATGTTCTTAACAGTGATCAGCACAATAAGGTAATGTCACGTTAGTGTCCAGCAGAGGGCGCACCTTTCATAGTAATCTGCATTGAATTCCTACGGATGCATGAGTTCAGTGAGGAGACAAAAGAAGCTTTATATTATTTTCAGTAATTTATTCTGAAAGTCACAAACACAGATAATAGATTAGAATTTACTTCATAGAAAACACAATCTGTCTAGAGGTTTTATATAAATAAATACAAAGGAGAAAGCTGTTAGGAAGTTAAAATATCACATTCATTATTATTAATATGTACAAACGAGGTGACAGTTTACAAAATGATAAGGAACTGAAATGCTTTACAAGAAATATGTAGAACGACACTTCCATGAAGCAGTAATCACTCCATCCTGCTTCTTCACAGCTTCAGGAAGTGCTAAATAGTTGTTAAGGTCTTAAAAAACACTTATATTGTTTAAAAACATCAGAGGGTGTTGACCTTATATAAATTATAAACGGTATTTACACGTTTAGAGCATTATACCATTCACTCAGTGAAGTTAATGGAGTCATGGATGAGTGACTATTCAGTAAAAGGACACTGGATGTAGATCCTCGGGTTAATGATTGCTACAGAAAACATTTATTGTTGTGAATTTTATAATATCATAAACACACTTTGGCAAAAGGTCTGCCAACCCGCACAGTTCTGTTTTGATACAACAACACAAGATTGTCATATCTCAAAGGTTAATAAAGCGATCACAACAGGGCAGCACACGGAAACACTTGCACAAGGTACGCAGTATTGCATGTAAAACTTCAAATGCACATTAGCCGAGTCAGCTTAAAGTATCTATATCAAGCTCAAATTCACACATTATGCATAGACAAAGCAAAGCAAGTTGTGGTGCGTGTGTCGCCAATCTTCACACAGTTTCCTTCAAGGAGTGTTTGTGGTTTGGTGGAAGTTTTGATGTAGTTACAGTCCAGGGAAGCTCAACTCCAACATCCCGACTATCAGCGAAATCAGATGTGGGCAGTCGTAGAGTCGTGCTTGTTTTCAGTCTGCAGTGAAATGGTGTTGTGGTCCAATACCGTGTCTTTCTTCTGCGCGGTTACTTCATGACCTGATCTCGATGACTTTGATGAAAGGCAGAGGTTTGTTGGAGGAGTTGGAAGGCTTGATTGGTTTACTGAGGGGAGAGGAAAAAGAGAAATTAGTCGATTGTATCTTGGAACAGCATAAAAACAAGTCATTGTGAAGGTGTAAAACTAGAACAGGGGAATATTTTTGTGTGTGTTTGTACTGTATGTTGGGACCCGTTTCATCAAATCTGCATAATTAAATAAACAATAAATGCAATACTTGCCACTCATGCATCAGCAAAAAGGGCCCAGTAGAAATATGAAGAGGAAGGGTAAAATAAGTTACCTGTAGACGATCTGGGGATTGCGCTCGGATGAAAGGTGAGAGTTTGACCTTTGTCCTCCCATGAAGTAATCCATCTGGTCATGCATCTCTCGGTTCTGCAGAAAGGCGGAGGTCAGAGGTCAGTTCACATAACAGCAATAAGACAAAAATGTATGTGGCCACAAAACATAAAAACCTCTTTATCTGAAAATATGTGATCTCCTTTCTCCTGTCATCCCTTGCACTTAATCCTGACTCTGAATTCCACTTTAAAGCCATGCAAATATTTTTCTTTATAGACAACCATCGCTCACCTCAGCCTCCAAGAAAGCCACTTTCTCTTCCAGCTCTTTGATCACGCGGTCTCTCTCCTGGATCACCATGCGAGAGTTCTGGAGCTGAAGAACCAAAAAACAAACAGTCAAACAGTCAGTAAATCCTGCACAAATATGAACATGGAGACAGTGTGTTTGCTTCAGTAAATCTCACACATGTGCGCCTCACCTGTTCAATCATGTGTCTGACTTTCCTTTGCTGGCTCTTCAGCATGTCGTCCAGATGGTGGATCTTTTCTTTGAGAATTGCCAACTCCCTCTCCAGCTGCTCAGTCCTAAAAATACACACAGAGTTAAAACTGTGACTTGATTGGCACTAATTCATGATTTGATTGGCACTAATGAATAAATGCTGTTTTCTGTTAATGTGTTTGAGTTAACTGACCTCTGCCCCCCTTTCTGGCCCTCCTCTCTGATTTTGCGCAGCTCATGGAGTTCCACCTCGCGGCTGTTCATCTCCTCCCTCAGGGTGGCGCTCTCCTGCTCCATCCCTCCGAGCAGCCTTTGCAGGTCGTCTATGCGCATGTCTTTCCTCTCGCTGGCTGCTTCTGTGGTCTTCAGCTTCTCCTCTTCCTCGCTCAGACGCTCCTTCAGCCTGCTACTCTCAGCCTGGAAGAGACAGGGAGGAAAAGAGGGGATGCTTAATATTATTTTAGTGTTAAATGTAGTTTCAGTGTGCCCAAAATACAGTGTACATTATATTTGGTGATGCGTAATGAATGTGAAAATAAGCTCTGTAGATGTGTGTTACCTGCAGCCTCTCTTTATCCTCTTGGTGTTTCTTTTCTGCTTCCTGTAGCTGAGCATACAAGCGCTTACTGACCTCCCTCAGCTTGGCTCTCTCTGCTTCTTCATCTGCTTCCTGAAAGAGAAAGGATCAAATGTTAGATTAGCAGATAATATGTCCTCGTATTAAGGAGTTAATCAGAATATAAATCATAAACACAGGTCTCTATGCAACCTGGCTGAGCTTGCATCAGAGATGAATCTGCTAAATACTGACTTAAAGGGGGATAAATATTTGGCAAACAAATATTCTTTTGTTTAAATATTGAAATTATTTGGATTATTTTGCCACATTGAGACCAGGTTTCCACCTATTTTCTGTTAATCAGTGTCAAAAAAGCCACACCTACTAGGATCTGATGTTGTAAACACTTTATATTCAACTGTTTTGTACACAGACCATTGACCTTAAAACAACAATATTACTCTGGATTGATAGACAGATGCTTTCCTGAACATCCTCTTTTCCGTGGCTGTCAACAGGCGTGTCAGTGTGCGTCATTGGATCACTTGGATCAGGACGTGCCTTTCCCTCCTAATTTGTGCAACGCTTCTGTGAGCGCACCACGGCGTGAGTCACATATAGATACTATAATTGGCACAAAAACGATTCAACCAAACAAAGTGATGTCAGCTTTTGTTTGGAATTGTACAAGACACAACCGACACGCAGACAATGGTGGATGCTAAACGTGTGTGGCTCAAACACAGCAACAAAACCATTAAAGGAGAGGTATCTGTGGAATGCTGCGAACAATAGGGAGGGCCTGAACACAACAACACAGAGAGAAGAGGAACAGAGTGTGCTGGGAAAGGCTTCCACTGACACGTAAACCTACACCCCGGGGTGCTACAAGCATAGTTGAACTTATGCTGTCATTTTAACACTTCTCCCCCCTCCCATATCTCGGTGTGTCTCGGTTTAACTTTATACCTCCTTTTTACGTCATCTGTGTGCCTCTGGGAGGGGATTGCTTTACAGGCGTCGCACGAACAAGAACACATTGTCCAGAGGAAAACAGAGGAGCTGTTGCTATGATATAATGCGAGATTTGATATGTGCATTTCTCACACATATTGAGTGTTTACCACTTTGAATGCTCACCTGTGCCTCAGCTTTGGCCTCGTCTTTAGAGGCAGACGGGGCGCTCCTTCTGAAGGGAAGACCAACTTTCCACCCATTTGTGAGCGGCTGTAAAGAGAAAACGGGGAAGTCAGCAACTAAAGAGTGAAAGAGGATGGAGGAAATGCCATTAAGCTCACAGGAAGCAGGGTTAACAATGTGGAGAGTAAGCAGAAGAAAGCAACAATAAATCTACCTTGTTTTTGGCTGCCATCTGCTCCCTCAGCGTCTTCAGGCAATACCTCACCTGCGATAAACACAGACACATTGTGAGTTACTGACATGTATTTATTAGTTAACAGGTATGTGTTGAATGTATGCAAATGCTCTATGAAGTGTTAAACAGCAGAATTTATTAGCAACAGATAGAGACTAAGTCTGGAAGCGCGGAGGAATTTACATGATGCAAATCGTTATATAATACACCAGGCAGAGACTGTAGTGATAGTGTGTTTAAAATGTGCGTCAGAGCTACAGTAGACACTGTCCAGACACTGACCTCCTGTATCTGTGAAACTTCATCTGACAGCATCTTGAGGCTCTGCTGGTGTTTCTGCTGCTCCTGTTTGCGGGCCTCTAGATACACCTGGGACAGGGAGAGAGAGGCACGGATGATTAACACTGAAACTCCACGACAAATCTATATATTAACATATCATATATTTCTTTTAAAAAAAAACACAACAGCATACCTTGATAACCTCCACCTGCTCCTCTTTGTATTTGACCGGTTCAGGGTTCAGAGATGTCCTGTCAGCGGCCGGCTGCACCAGCGCATAAGCTCGTCCGATTGGCTGCAGATCAGAGAGAAGAGGGGTTAACAATGTGGCACGCACAGAGTTGCATGACGATGGGTGTGATACATTTCCACACAGCAATCAGATGTTAAGTCACGGTGCTTTGCTGACGCGAGAGCGTGGTTTGGATCAATATTGCGACACAACATTTCAAAAGGAAAGCCAAGAGTACTTCTGTTTAAATGCCATTATGATAAACACCATCTGTGTCCTTTTGGGTGCAGGGAGTATTCCTGTGTGACTGAGTCTCTATTATCCAAAGGCAGAAGCATTTTGGAGACAAACCCAAAAACATCTGCTTTCGTTGGAGGTATTATTCAGTTTTCATCACAACCATAAACAGAGACAGCAGGTCAGGAGACAAAACTGCTGCTCTGGATGCCTTTACAGTTTCTGTATATCTAACTTTTGCATTGGTTTTGGGAGAACAATTGTTATCTTGGCTCTTTTCTTGACATTTTGTGTGGCAGCTGTGGCATTTTACAAGCAGTTTGTGTCTCTGTCAGATTGTGTGTGGGCATGTGCCGTGATAATGATGATGTGTGAATGTACGGTAGTATTTTTGAGAGGGATTAATTAAGATGAATTGTCTGAATCTTCAAATCCAAATATGGCATTAATGACGATCACTTCGCCTTAAAAGAAAACAGTGCTACGGTTTTTCCTTACGTCGTAGAACAAACTAGACACAGTGGATGCATTAAGGTTGAAAAGTCAATTCAAATGTACAGTAACAGCATGATAAATAACACCTTAAGTATCTAAACCATGCATCTAAAACAGTGATGAATGTTTTTCTATTGCAACATTCCTATATCTCCTACAGTCCTGATTCCCAGGTCTGTTCTCTACATCGGTGTTACAGTCCAGGTTGCAGACTAAGTTATCAGGTGCAGGAAGTTCTTACCTTGTCCCTGTACTGCTCCGTTCTCTGGGCTGCCTGCCTCTGGTCGTGCAGTGTGAGTCGCAGTCTCCTGCACCCCTCCTGAAAAAAGCAACCAAGAGAGGACACGATGAAATGAAACCACAAAGAGACCGTTATGTTTTGGAGAGACTGTTGAGGACTATTTTGAGGAGAGGAGGAAAAAGAGGAGGAGAGACTGAGTCATACTCAAAGTCAGAAACAGAGGAGGGAGAGAGTACCCAGTAAGAGAGGGAGGGAGTACAACGAGCGTCAGAGAGAAACCAAAAGTTTGTTACAGCTGCACAGAGACAGATTGTTTGAATTAAATTGTGTGCTATGGACGTCAGAGGGACTTTAGGCGGAAACTCTCCAGGCGCTCACAGCCAGTTGGAAGCAGAGGCTGGATTTCTGGGAAAGTGGGCAGAAAATGTAATGTCAAGCCAGACAGGACATTTCCATGGTAACCAAATCCTCACAGAAGCGATAAACTGCCTGGCACGCCAACAATTTCACTGGGAGGAGCAAGTCAGAGACAAAACAATGCACAGATGGCTTCGAAAACAAAAACAAAACATAGTTTTGACTTTGAGTTAAAGGAGAGAAGTGGCTTTAAACAGGAAAGGGATGTGAATGGGTGTGTGTCCTGCAGGGAACCCCCTTATAGAGTGTGTGTGCATGTGTAAGTGTGAGTATGTTAGGGAGGAGGTCAGAGACATTACGTAACTCATTCCAGCAAACGACATCTTGTTCTGTTTATCTTCCCGTATACATTTACTGTGTCCTCTTGGTTATTAAACTCATGTCAACTCTGAGACTGAAAAGGCAAAGAAGAAATGGCTGCCATGTGGATGTGTTCTTTTCTGACCTTTAATAGATTAAACAATCAAATTAATAGTGGAAAAATATGTTAATTGCGGCTTCTTACTAAGTCGATAGTTTTTGCAGTTTACAGTAAGAGGAGTTTAAGCCACTAGTGTATGTTTTTCTCTGCTGTAGAAATCACGTCTGATATGCAGGATACCCCGGCCTGGATGTTAGCCAAACAGGGGCAATAAACTGTGCTGCGTTGTGTGAAGCAGAGATAAAGGGCAGTAAGAGGTTATAAAAGAAAAGCCCATGCGTTGTCTTGACTATAGAAGACCTTTATGATTAGCTTGTTATCTGTTGAGGAGGTATAGGAATAGAAAAAAGCAAAGGGGGACAAAGATGACTGAACATTCTCAACAAGAAAAATGAAAAGGACAGGGAAAATAGCCTATAATCAGAGGGGGGGGGGGGGGGGGGGGGTCCAACTACGAAAAACGAAACTCAGGGAAATGAAAGCAAAAAATGCCCCTCTTGTTCAACATGCTTTCCTCTCAGATTACAAACACCTGAAAGCTTTAACACAGGAAAAAGAGGGGGGATAAAAAGAAAGGAGGGGGGATAAAGAGGGAACAGTGCGAGGGTTGTTGAGAAGGAATCCATCATTATACAATCTCTCTTGATCTCCATAGACAACCAGACAAAGAGTCCGCTAATCCTCTCTTAGCCAGCGACTATTGACATGCTACTCTCTCTGCCCATTTGCTCTTTTATAAATCACACTAAAATGCCATCTATACTACTTTACAACCTGTAATACTAGACTTCCCGGGATCACAGACAAAGGCACCAGTTGGATGTGTTCACGGAGGGTGACGTATGCGTGTACATGTATGTACGCGCGCGGAAAAACACACACACACACAGATAAAAGTACACAGTACCTTAACAACAGGGCAGAAACCTGAAACTAAGCACACACACAGCACACTGCTGGGTGTTCGGACAATGAGCACAAAAGACCACAGGGTACTGCCGGGCAGAAAGGATTAAAGGGTATGAGGACGCTTTTTGTTTTTGAGGCCTGTAGATCAGGTCAGTTGCTGATAAAAAGACAGAGCTGCTGGATTTGGTTAAAAAAACGAAATGTTCTTTAGAGCTCGCTGCCAGTTTCAAACAGAACGTGATGTTCAGATTTCTGAACTCATGCAGTAGCAGGGATCTTGGAAATAAACACATGTTGCCTGCAGGTGTTGTACCTTCATACCACAACTACATTCCACAGTTGTGTGTACTTCATCGTACATTAAATCACTCTTTCCTTTCATGAGCTGCTTTCCCACACTGTGCCCCTTTTGTCTTCTGTCCATTCCTTAATAAACCTCGGCCTCTGAGGCGACAGCTGTGAGACTGAGGCAGGTATCAAGTGACCATACAATACCTGAGTTCTATTTTCTATTACCTTACTCATACAAGGAATTAGGATATACAGTATACACACGTATCTTCCCACAGCTTTACCATTAGCATAATTTGACTACTCAGTACATCTGTTTTAGGAGGCGTGTGGCGTAGTGGGTTAGTGCGTTGGTGTTCGGATCAGGGGGTCACAGGTTCAAACCCCACTGCAGTCAGCATGTCGTTGTGTCCCTGGGCAAGACACTTCACCCCAAATTGCTCCTGTGGGGATTGTCCACAGTATTGAGTATGTAAGTCGCTTTGGATAAAAGCATCTAGCAAGTAATGTAATCTGTGTTTAAAGTTCTCTCAACACAAAGTAAGCCTATGAACAGGAACTTTACCTCAAAGTTATGACTAACATCAGGAAATATTTGATCAAATAAAAAGCAAACGAGACTAAAAAAATAGAAGTATTCAAACCCCATCAGATACTCTCTATAGTGCAGACATATTTTGACCTGCTCAACAAAGCTTCAACCTTTAATCGATTGAAAGAATATTGGCAAATAGTTTGACAATCTATAACTAATTTTAGACATTTTTCAAGAAACAAATTTAACTTTTGCTTGTTCAAGCTGCTTTAATGTCAGGATTTTCTGCTTTTTTATGTTTTAAATAATAGTTAATGAAGTACCTCTGGGATTTGTAATTTTGGTAGGACAAAACAACTTTCCACATTTCCTTTGGACTCTATTAAAGGTAGGGTAGGTAAGTTTGAGAAACCGGCTCGAGATCGCTAGAATTTGAAAATACACAACCGGAGAAAATCTGCCACTTCCTTACAGAGCCCCTCCTCCAACACACACAAACGCGCACATGACCAATGAGGGCACGAGATAAGTTTGTGCACAGATGGAAGGCTGACAGGCAGGTAGGCCATCCAGTTATTTTAGCCGGGCCGGTTTCTCAAACTTACCTACCCTACCTTTAAATAGTAAATAAGTATATGAATCAATTCACAATATAAATGTCATCTGCAGCCACAGTTTTAAATATATCCTGTTTTAGGATAAAATCCTTGAGCTGTAGTTCCCACAGTAGTGAAGGGTGACTGACTGTCACGCTGCGCCCTATGGTCAGTCCGCAGTCAGTTCAAACTAAAGACTCAAGTTGAGGTGTGAAGTAAAGCGTTTGGAGGTTTGTGTGTGTGTGTATTTCCAACATGTGAGAACCTGAACAGGTGAACGCTTCGATTTGAGTCATGAAGTGAGAGCTTTCATCAGAACAGATATACAGTATAATTACTACAGTCATCCTTCCATCAATAACCCTCTTCTCCTGCTCTCTGTTGCGTGTGAACCAGGTGGGATTTTGCATTTTACGATCATTCCTATACATTGATGCATCTCCTATGTCATGTCTGGCTCATTCCCAGCAAGTAACGTCACACACTCCTGACTGAGATGGTGTCTGTGATGAGGAAAGCCAGCAGGAATGTGTGAGGTCACACAACACAAGGAACTAAACGTCTGGGGGGAAAGTTGTGGCATTATTCAAAAAGTGCCCAATATAACAGTTTTTTTGAGAGGAGGAATTATGCCAGAACATTTAAATGATTTTCAAATAAAAGCTGAATATTTTTCTGCTATTAACGTAACATTTAATTTCAAAGCCAGGCCTGGGTGTTCCTTGTGTTTTATACATCATCTCCGTTCCAGGAAGCACACAAACCACCCACTGAAGGCCTTTCTCTGCTACATCAGGCACATCCTTATCAGAAACACTTCCTGATAAATAACAAAGGGGTATTTTTGTTAATAAGTAATTATAAAAAATGTAACACGTAGAGGTGAAGTATCTTTGCTGCTTTGTTTAGTCTGACGTTAATAACCCTATCAGATATGGAAAAAACTGAATGTGGGTGACTATTTGACTATTGGATTTGATAAAGCTGCATTTTTCCTCATAGAGCTCATGCAAATATGCTTTCAGTCGCATGTTGAAATGTACCATATGATAGCTAACACAGAAGCTGAACAAATGTGGAGTTTCATATACTGCTTTATGAGACATTCCTCTCCACCAATAATCGGTGCATCAGGTGTGTGAGTGGAGCTGCCCTTTGTACACTCTGACCCCTTCACACAGTTACAAAACACTAACTGTTATTTTAGTCTAGACCATTGGCACACATGTCAATATCAATGTACGCTCTCATCATACTATTTAACTTAACATAACCATTATGAGGACTCTTTACTGTAATGCCTATTATATATTATTCTGTGATGGGTTGAAGGGATCTTTTGCTGACAGGTTTTGTACTCAGCGGGAGGCTGCTGATAAGGGGAAAGTGTCATGTTACTCAGCAACCTCATAAACCACAGGTCAGGTTAACCGTTTGCGAGGTAAATGATTAAACCTCTGCAGCCACAGAGTGCTAATAAAACCCTTCTTCTATAGGTGAAACAGGCAAATAGGGAACACTTATTCACAGTGCAAGTATCAGAAGTCTGTGCCAAAGTCAAGGATGTTTAATCCTCTTTAAGGAAACTCCTCATGCACAGGTGGCACACATACTGCACAAGCTAAGTGTTTACAGGGCTTCACACTGTCACAAATGCAACTGTAAGCCCCTGAATGATGTGGGCAGAAGGCACCTGTGACTGACAAATGTAAATTGGACTAATTCTGAGCTGATGCCTTTATATATTGGTAGGGAGAACATGTGCTTGTGGTTGGGGGGGCAAATACTTTAATCACAACAAGAGACTAAACAGTTAATACACCACTTGGTGAAGCCTGAATATCTGTAAGTAAACCAGCCTCTGATACAGTCTACATAACTGAGCAGGGTCATGTAAAGGAAAAAGAAAGCAATAAAAGAAACCTAAAAGTGTTTTAAGTGAGAAAAGATCCAACAGATCCAAAAGTGGGAAAAAAGGACTTAAGCTTTTGACATTGGTTTACTTTTGCAAATGTCTTATTGTACCACAATGCACCCATAGAGGAGGTCAACACACAGAAGTACACAAAGGTCTACTTAATCATTGTATTTAACATAAAATACATAAAAACAAGCATGTAAGGAGTAACTCACCGCCTGCTCTTGATTTCTGATGTCTTCAAATGTACACATACTTCTCGACACTCCGTTCATCTTGGATAGAAATAAATACAACTCAAATAATAAATTAATAAATAAAGTCAAACTAAATAAAGCTCCTTCAGTTAGAACAGCTCCCCGGTGTGTGTCTCCAATGGTCCACAGTAGCTGCAGTTATCAGTGTTCAGCCCGGTGTATTGGTGCGTTCATGCTCCGTCCCCTCCCTGCACACATTGTTAAAACTTTTCTCACCACGTCACTATGGGGAGGGGTAGGGGGGGGAACAGAAACAACCCGCCCACACACCGAGACAGCCAAATAGGGAAGCAGGGAACATGTACAGTAAGGGGCAGATGGATATACCTGCTGGAACAACTTCTGGAGAAACGTCAATGATTTTTACCTCATGGTGCTGGTATTTGTATCAGGTTGAATGGGTGCAATGTTTTCAAGCAGTGACACACTGAAGATGGTCAGCTCCTGCCAAATGCCGTGCACAACACTGCTCAGTTTACCAAAGCATTATTAATTCAGGAGGTTTAACCCCTGGATGAACTTGATCTATTATCTTACAAAGCAATGGAAAACTAGGCTTGGATTCAGAGATTTAAAGCAATTTCAGGCTGTTTTATAGAGACAATATATCTGTAATTCACTTTTTCTTGTCAAAAGAATTGACATATTTAACATAATTTAAGTGAATGCATTTTCCCACCATTTCCTGAAATACTAACACGTGTTTTTTATTAATTAATAATGGGTTATATTTGCAGATTTACATTTTTTAGAAGAACAACACAATGAACATTATGCCACCTTTTAAAAAATAATAATAATAAGTAGCCTTGTAATGTGGTTAGTGTAGCACAGGCTGTTCCTAAAATATATTTAACCAAGTTGTTCACCATGACCTATGATGTGGGTGTGTTGTTTTGTGAACCTTTATCTTTTTATTTTTAGTATTTTACAGCATCAATGTTACACATGATAAACTAAATGTTTCCAAGAGAAGTGTGTTGTGCTTTGTCAGCTTAGAAAAATAAATAGGCTGACAAAGCACGAGTAACACAGTGAGTGTCCCTGATGGCGTTCAGCTGATTCCAGCAGCAGCTGATCCAGGCCGGCACAGACCTTAAATTGGATAAAGACTTTAATGGCATTAATGGCTGTTAGCTACTGCAGGTTGTAGCAAACAACAGCTCACGGTGGCATATAAGGGATGACACTAAGTTAATTGAGTTGAGCCAGGAGCAGACACAGCACACACAGAAAGAATGTGCAGATGAAGACAAATGGCTATTACATTGACTGGACACCATAAAAAACATTAATGTTTGCCTAAAGTGCAGGGGGTACTTTATAAGTGAATGTTTCAAGATAACTATTACCCCAAATAGGTTACTAACAAAGAATGTGGACTTCTACAACAGACCAGTTGTTATTTTTTAACGGCCGATCTATCGTTTGGAATGGGGCTACCCACATTCAACAAACACACTTAAACCTTACTACAGTATGTCATCATGTGTCTCAGAAACTAATCCACAACATGAGTCACAACAATGTGTTTACATCACACAGTGGACCACACTCAGACAGATTGATCCACAGACCAGACACCTATGAAGGTCTCTGTGTTTACATACATCCCTGTCTGAGTCTAAACGCTGTGAGTCAGACTCCTGTTCACTCTCTGTCTGTGTTCTACATGTGACTTTGATGGACTTCTTAATCTTTGCCATAGGAGTACAGTTCGAGTTATAATATATAGTTAATAAATTAGTCACACTTAATCTGAATAAGCCATCTATATGACTCGGTTGAAGTTTACACATATAGATATCCCAGTATGCATTGCCTGTTTTAAAACCAAATGAATAAAGAACAAGCCCTTTCACAGCGGCCATTCTTCACACATCATAGCACGGTAAACACAGGTGTAGTTAATATCATTAATTATTGTCCGGTTCTATTTACAGTGTCACAGCTATTCTAGTGAGCACAATACAACCCCACCTCAATGAAACTGGGCCATAATGAATGTTATTAAATACACCTTTGTTCACCCATCCAGTGGAATGTCAAAATGAAAAGGGCCTATATTGTGTTAATGTTGATTTGAATAGGAAACAACTTTGGGTGTTTGCAGCATTGGTTTGTAGAATACCACAAGAAGATACCTAATGAGCAGTTGTGACCCATTTGAACAAAATGTGAGCATGTTGTTCTTTTTATATGACCAATTCCTTTTTTTAAGGTATGTATTCGCCATTTTAATTATGTCATGTTAACATTACATGCCAATAGATAATTCTCAAGTTTCAGACACAGTTCTTGTGCATAGAAACAAATAGAACGTCTTTGATTTCACTTTAATGGAGAAATACATGTAGTTATGTCATCCTCCTTCACTCTTACTATAAATGGAAATGGCAACTGTTTTGTAGAAGATCATTTATTTTAAATAGATCTTTGCTGTTGTTAGTAACCAAAGAAACACAATTGCTGCATTAAGTATTATTTAAATGAAATTAAAATATAATACCCATTTAGTTTCTATTGCTTGTGAGACCACAACAAAAGTAAAATCAAGTTGGATAATCTGAAACAACCGTGCAGAGAGTGACTAATAAGGCAGAAAAGCTCCTATTTTGGATTTAGGAGAACAAATGGTCAATGGTGAAAAGTGCACTATGGTGACACAGCTGCTCCTTGAAAACAATGATGACACTATAACTGAATTACTAAATACCAAAGGCCTGACTATTTTTTGCTTTTGAAAACAAGATATATTTATAGAACTGATCACTCCTTATGTTTTCATTTGTTGAACCTTTTACCGATAGAGCAAAACAATTCAAACACATTGGTCTTGTTTGTGTGTGTGAACGAGCTCAAGGCAATCCAAGCCTAAAAGACTTGTTTTTCCACACATGGAGGCAGATGGAACTAAATGTACGATGGGGTTGCGTTATTTTAGAGCAAGCATATGTAATAGCAAACACACCACGATTTCAAAACACAACACACCCAGCTCTTGGCAAATCAAGTCTCAGGTTTGAATAATCCTGGAAACCTGGAATGATATGCGAGCCCATTCCCACCCATGGAAAGTATGTTCCCTCATTATTGACAGTCTAACAAAACAGGTATACACAGAACACAAACGTGTTGGCACTGTACAGGTTTGGTCACTCTGGATGGGAGTGTAGTATCACGGACGCTGAATCTGGTTCTACAGAAAATATTGAAGGCTCGACTCCATGCCAATTTAACAGTTCCAAGTACATTATTTTAAGTTGAATTGCTGACAACTAAGGGAGGGAAGAAAAAAAAGCTTTTGAAGATCAATCACACAATAGCACCACGTGTGGTACAGTCTCAAAATCAGCCAGCTTTGTTTACTTCTGAGGCGCAGGCGTCCATGTTCTGTCTCTAAATAGTAAAACACAATCTGGTTCTGTGTGCCAAAGTGCCAAATAGGATGTAAACTCATAAATAACCAGAGGTGCTTGTGAAGTTACCCTCCAGGGTGCTGACTTTCATCTATTTTCCAAATGTAGGAAAAACAAATACCTAAAACCATTCAAATGTTTTTGTCGCAACATATAAAGGTGCAGATTTATTCCAGTTTTTTCAGACATTTATAGATGATTTGGATCAACAGTTGCAGTGCTGTCAGAAGATAATATTTTATAAATATCTTGTATAGTTCTGTAGAAGTTTCCTTCCACCTGTTTCCCCACAGATCTCAGTGGACACAGCACATTCCTAACATGCTTCACCCTGCAGTGATCCTGGCATCAACACAGCATCCATCACTACCTCAGAACCAAGTTCAAGAGACAGGCCCTCTCACAGCATGATCCTCATTACACAACTCAAGCTTCAACAAACAGACATTATTATTCGTCTGAAATCTATCAAGGATGTGGTATGTGGGCTGTTTGGTATTTCCCCACCTCTCTAGGGTCAGTGAAGTAGGATTAATCTCTCCATTTATGCTAGTATGTAGAAAAGGAGACCCATTTTATCCATTTCGTTGTGCTTTAACATAATTATAGTGTTAATCTGGGAATATATCCACAAATGGGGAAGCAGGCCTCTTTAATAGAAAAATATTGATTGCCTTGCCCAATCACAGTTGAAATTAAATTCAACTATGTATTACACTTGGACCAAGTGTAATACATAGTTGAATTTAATTTCAACTGTGCAGCAGTCCTCTACTTGCTACAAACTTAAATATGAAAAGGTTCAACTACGCACACACACATAATCTCGGTTTGCACAGCACACTCACAGGCATAGATTGCGCAATAATGTATTGTGCACCTTGGAGGTGCAGTGCAGGCATATCGTCATTCAAGAGATGCGTAGTTCTTTTTGAAAACATGTTTTTCTTTTAGCCTATTTACCTCGTTAACGTAAATAATACTCATTACATTGACACATGCATTATTTGTGATTAAAATAATGGTTGTTGGTAATGTATTAGCGACCCCCACAGATGTATGATTTCACTGCTTTCATAGGAGCTCAGACCCCTCCTTATGGGAGCTCAGCTCCCATTGGCTCCCACATACTGTAACTCAAACCCTGCATTTGGTAGTCTTGATTAGGAATGAAAAAGCATTACTATTATAGAGTTGCTTCTCAGTGTTTCTGTTTCAATCACTTCACTGGCATTATTGCACTTTTATTATCAGGTTTTGTGCATGGTGACGTACAGATATAATTCCAGTTTTTCTACAGGGAAAGCTGAAGTCTACCATGTAAAGTAGAGGCCTGAACTACTGTATTTACCTAGGTTAGTATGAACATAACAATCACATTAAAGTTTTAGTATGTCCACAAATGGGAATATGTCCCACTTGTATTCACATGAAGCAAACTGAGCTGATGAAAACAATACTGCGCCGATAGATAAGAGGACAAAAAAAACAAACGTTGTGGCTGCAGCAGGACAGAAAATGACAGGATAGCACACTGTACAGTAAAGATGGGGCAGTTTGAATGTTTGATACCAACATAACATCCACACATCTGAGGATATAAGGGATACTTCAAAATCCAAACACCTTTTTAAAGCAAAACGTGTAAGTGCTCCAGTAGGCAATGCAGCATGTACAATATGAAGACCTTTAAGAAGCTGTAATTAATGGTGATACACCTGTGCTTTTCCACAGCAATTTGTCGTTT